GACAGACGGGCCCCTCGTTGGAGAGGCAGACAGACAGGCCCCTCAGCAGACATACAGGAGGACCCCCGCAGGGCCGAGGTGCTGTGTTCGCGGGCCATTCTGTCCCAGGTGCCCAGGGAGGTCTCTGGACGTGCCTGTGGGCCCTCCCCATGTGCCGTGCACCTTCCCACACTTCTGCCTGGGCCCTCCTTTTCTTTCAGACCTAAAAGGTGTCTTGTGGCTCCCTCTCGGTGGGTGTTTTCTGGGGACTCACACATCCGACTTGTTCCCCTTTCGGAGATGCGTAACCTTTGCTGTTTGCAAGCTATGTCTGTAATTTGGGGCAGCTTGACTGCGACGCGTCCGGCTGTGGATCCCTTTGGGCTTCCTGTGCGAGGATTCCATAGAGCTTCTTGAGCCTGGAGCCCGACAGGCCTTCCTCCGGACCCGGGAGGACCCGGGACGTTCGCCATTGTCACTCTGAGAGTTTCCAACCGGGCTTGCGCTCCTTCCCTGCACCCTCCACCCGAATGCTAATAACCCTTTCCTTTTGTCGCAGGGGCCTTCGAGGCTGTTTTTCTCTTTAAAGAATTATTTTATTTAACTTTATTTATTTACTTTAGTTTGACCAGAGAGGGAGAGAGCGAGAACAAGAGTGAGAATGAGAGAGAGAGTGAGTGAGCAAGTCGCCAGGTCCAGGACTCGAACCACAGTCGGCCCTGTGAGAGTCCACTGCTCTTAACCAGCACGCCACCTGCCTGCCCCAGAGGCTGTTTTTCTTACTGTTTATTGAACCTGGTTTTCAGATGAGGCCTTTGTAATGCTGTGTCTTCAAGTTGCTGTCTTTGTTGTTGAGCTCACATACGAGCTCCGTGTCTTCAGCATGCATCATTCAGTGGTAAAATGTTCACTTAGTTCTCCCTTACATTTAAGGTTGTTTTTTTCTTTTAATGAGAGATTTTTGCTGTAGAACTCTGGAGAGACAGAGAGACAAAAAACAAGAAATCACCCCCCAGGGGGGATGGCCACGCCGCAATCCCTTCTCCTCCATTCTCCTCTCGGGATCTTGGGCACGCACACACAAGTGCCTGGCATGAGTTTTAAGTTGCCGGGTCTGGGACTCGAACCGCGGTTGACTACATAGGAGTCCAGCGACATAGCCATTATGCCATCTGCTGGTCCCCACATGTAGGTTTCCCCCTCGACTTTGCCCTTGAGTTTGGGGTGTCAGGATGGTGCCCCCTCTCCCCTGGCAGAGTCGAAGTGCTGGGTCCCTGGCCCGGCCGTGTGGCTGGTCTTCCCCCCGAGGAGCTGGGGCATTCCCGGTGCTTTGTGGCTGAGGGACGGGGTTGTCACAGGAAGTTTGGAGGTCGGACGTGCGTGAGGCTGGGCAGACGCCGAGCAGGTGGGATCTGTGGGGACAGGCCGCGGGTACTTTTGGCCGAGCGCACGCTGCCTCCTGCAGGTCCCGGCTCCGGGCCAGTCTGTTGTCAGGGCCTCTGTGGTGCTGTTCGGATCTGCCCCACCGGGTGCCCGTGGTCCCCGAGGCCCTGGCTGTGGGCTGAGGGCTCAGGGAGTGAGCAGGACACCCCACCATGAGCCTGAGGACGGGTTTGCTCTGGCGACCCACGCTGCCCTGGGACTGGCCGGGGCCCTGGGGTGACGTTTGGGGCTCCAGCAGCTCCCACCGCGATGTCCCAGCACCTGTGCATTCTGGGCTCCTTGCACCGCCCACTGCCCACTGCCCGGGAGCCTGCGTGTCCTTCCGGCTCTCTGTGCAGCGTCCCGCGAGGCAGGCTGGAGCGCAGACGGCCTGGCGACATGGCGGGTGTGAGGCGTGCACTGCTCCTCAGCAGGCCTGCCTGGTGCGCCCATGCAGCCTTTGGGCGCGGTCCCTGGGCTGCCATGCCAGCCCCCTGGGAGTGACCTCTGTCACTGCATGGATCCTGCAGCCTGGGTGTTGGGGGAGGGCACCTTCTCTGGCCTGTCTGACCCCCAGCACCAGCAGGTAGGGACGAGCCCCAGGTGGAAGAGGGCGATAGGAGCACGTGTGTGCTGCACCATGACACCCGCATGGCAGGAGAGCCGTCGCCAGGGTGCTTAGGAGAGGCTGCGGGCACCCGGCCCATTCCTGGGAGAGAAGCTGCCCCCGGGACCGTCCCTGCCCTCGGGAGGCTGTCAGTGCCACTACAGGCAGGGGGCTGTTTTTCCTAGCCCACCATGGCGGCCCAGGTGACGCTGGAGGACGCGCTGTCCAACGTGGACCTGCTGGAGGAGCTGCCCCTGCCCGACCAGCAGCCCTGCATCGAGCCCCCGCCGTCCTCGCTGCTCTATCAGGTGGGTGCCCACGCGGCTGGGGTGCATGCCGCCCCCCCCCCTCCACTGACGGCCTCCCTGTGCCTTCCAGCCCAACTTCAACACCAACTTCGAGGACAGAAATGCGTTTGTCACCGGCATCGCGCGGTACATCGAGCAAGCCACCGTCCACTCCAGCATGGTAATGCCGCCTGCTTACCACGCCGCTGGGGGGCGGATGGCACTGGGTACTGTCCCATAGGTCACGTGAGGAGACAGGGGAACGTGGTCAGTGGCCTTGGGTTTAGGGAAGCCTTTGCTTTTTCACTGTGTTAACAACACTGGAGCCGGACCGGTAGCCTCGTGTTTAAGGGAGCCGATCTGACATGGCCCACGGCGGTTCAAGTCCCGGCACCCAGGCTTGAGAAACGCCCTGGCCTGTGTGTGTGCATGCCCCAAATCCCGACAGGGTGGAGGAGCATTGTGGCATGACCCGGCCCCGCTAGGGGGTGCTTGCTCCCTCCCTCCCTGTCTCTGTCTTGCCGTGCGTGGCTTTGCCCAGACGTGAGCAGTCTGGCGCCCGCCTGCCCGTGCGTGTCCCGGGCTCTCACCTCCCTGTGCCCTGCAGAACGAGATGCTGGAGGAGGGCCAGGAGTACGCCGTCATGCTGTACACCTGGAGGAGCTGCTCCCGCGCCATCCCGCAGGTACCCCGCCCGCCCCGCCAGGCCCTGCTCCGGAACTGCACCTGCACGCAGCCACAGCCCCAGCCCGTGGCAGGACGGGAGCTCGGCCTCACTGACCTGTGTCCTGGCCCCCAGGTGAAGTGCAACGAGCAGCCTAACAGAGTGGAGATTTACGAGAAGACCGTGGAGGTCCTCGAGCCCGAGGTCACCAAGCTGATGAATTTTATGTACTTCCAGGTAAGACAGCCGCCCATCCGAGGGGCTCCATGGGGAGGGCGCCCCCACCCCACCGTCACCCGGGCCTTGGGCAGGCCGTGTGCGCCGCATCCCGCGGGCCGCATCCTGCCTCCTTGGCGAAGCCGCTTCCTGCCATTTCCAAGGGACTTCCGACTCATTCCCCAAGCGCTTTGACTTTCTGCCCGTTGGCACTTTCGGTCTCTCTGGCTTTTCGGGTGTTTCTTCTTCCTGGACCATTTGCACCTGGTGGTCCTCACCCCGGCCACCCTTTGGCTAGAGAAGTGCCGGGATCGGGGACCCGCGGGCTAAAGAGGACTTCAGAAAGGCCTGGGGACAGCCCACACAGGGTCCTGTAGCGAGGGAGGAGACAGGCCGGCGGATGGCCTCTGCCTGCGTTCTTCCTCTCCAGCTCCCGGGCTCCCGCTCTGTCTCACGGGTGCTTGGTGGGGGCTTCTGTTCAGTACCTTTGCCGGGATGAGTGGGAGACTTCTTCTGTTTAGGGATGGGTTTGGCAAAGCGTGCGGCAGTGGCTCTGCAGGACGCCGTCTGTCCTCCCAGTTGTAAAGCCTTGGTCCTGGAGCACGGCTGGCCGTCCGTCAGCGTAGCAGGGACCCAGTCCTGCGCTCGAAGCCAGGCCCTGGAACTGCCGCTGACCGGTGGCTCTCCCGCCCTCCCTCCCTCGCGCCCAGCGGAACGCCATCGAGCGCTTCTGTGGGGAGGTGAGGCGTCTGTGCCACGCCGAGCGGAGGAAGGACTTTGTGTCGGAGGCCTACCTGATCACGCTGGGCAAGTTCATCAACATGTTCGCCGTGCTGGACGAGCTCAAGAACATGAAGTGCAGCGTGAAGAACGACCACTCGGCCTACAAGCGGTGAGCCGGGCCTCGCTCTCAGGCGCCGCGGTGCCCACGGGACTGAGCACGAGCTCCCGGGTGCAGGAAGCAGGAAGCAGGGCTGGCCGGGGAGTGGAGGGGGCCCGGGTTTCCTGGCTGGGTGCTCTTGCCGTGGAGGGCCTGGGGCCAGCACCCTCGGGCAGACCGAGACGCACAGGTGCTGTCCCTGCTCACGGAGGTGCAGGCCTTTGGCTCGGGCCTCTCGGCAGGGGGAGGGGGGGGGGCGCGGGGGCTTCC